TTAATTGCCATTGTGATGTTATTAAGGGGTGGAACCTTTAAGAGGCAATAAGGTCGTGAGGGCTCTGTCCTTAGGAGTACTACTCCCTTTTTGTCTGTTTCACACACTTCCTCATGTTTCACCTTCTGTCATGGAATAACTCAGCAGAAGGTCCTTGCCAGATTTAGTGCCATGCTCTTGGACTTCCCAGCCTCTAGAACTGTGAGCAAAATAAATTTCTGTTCGTTATAAGTTACCCAGTATGTAGTATTCTGTAGCAGCAAGAAAGGGACTAAGGCATTTGCTTTATTAATTAATATTCATAGTGCAAGGATAAATTTGAGTTTAGTCCTGGCTAAGATGACCACATTTCAAGGTGCTTTGTACTCGTATGTTTTTCTGTCAGAACAGTACCTTACCTGAATTCTCACTGAAATTAATGGGTTAGGGTAGGTAAGTTTGTTGTAATAATTCTTTTAATGAAATATAATACTTTGTTGCATTGCTCAGAAAATCATAGATTTCAATTTATATTTTTGACCAGAATGTATTTATAACTTTTTGGATAGGAATTCGAGAGTGGTGGGAGCCGCAACTGCTTTGGATTCTCTATTGCTGCTTCTGGTGCCTCATTTTTTCCTGACATTTTTCATTTTCTTGCATTTGTACTATAAGACAGACTTAAAAAGATAAAGATACTCAGTTTCAAGAATTATGTTGCTTTAGGCTGGATTGAACCTCTGCTCTCTTCTGCTATTTTTTTCATGAATGGACATGATATCCCAAAATGTTTTGATAATTGAACAAGAGCTACATTTTTAGGTGAGGTTGATTTCTTATATGAGAGTAACATCACAGCTTATATTTGTTATGTTTAAGTGATAATCATATAGATTTTTGTTGCCAAAAGACTGAATTCCTAGACTCTGTCATTATAGTCTTTATAATAGAACCCTATTATAAAAGTCTTTATAATAAGAACCCTTTGAGCTTGGGGGTGAGTTTATGTGTTCCTAAAGTGAAAAAAATTGTCCCTGGCACATAGTAAATGTTATTTAAATCTTAGGTGCTTTTATTAGTATAATTTTTTTGGTAGGAATTTAGCACTTTAAAAACTACATACAGAACTGATTCTGAGTCATACAGCGCAAGACAATATTTTGCCAGGACATTTAGTAAGTAGACTTGGAGATAGTTATTAATATAAAGCACATAATTTAAGAAATCTGTTATAGAAATAGTGCAGGTGTATTGTAGCAAAAATAGAAAATACAAAGCAAGCAAAAATGAAGAAAAAAAATCTATATTCCTACCACCTACAGGTTATTACTTTCAGTACCTTAATTTATAATCTTTTTGTCTACACATGTCTGTATAGATATATATGTATTCTTTTATCTATTACACTGCATATTCTGCTTTGAAACCTGTCTTTTATTTTAGTCAATTATATCAGCTTTTCCATATCAGTAAATTTTCATCTCATGTAATACCCAGATCACATCAAAGTTTTTCTAGTTGGCTCAAAAATGTCCTTTTTGGCTGGATTGTCTAAAATAATATCCAAACCAGCATTGTACCTATGAAATTGGCTGTTAGGGAACTTGTCTTTAAAAATCAAGGGCAGCCACCCACTTTTTTTTTTTTTTTTTTAAGGACAGTGATTTGTTGAAGAGAGACTAGATCATGTACTACAGACTTTTTGATTTTGTCCAGTTTACTCTCATAATATATCGTTTAGGTTGATCTATCCTATTAATATGTATTTCCTGCAGATTAAAATTTATATCTAAAGGCTTGGTGGATTTAAGTTGAAGATACTTGGCTATCATAAATGATACTGTGTCCTTTATATTGTATATTGAAAGTTAAATGATCTCTACCTGACTTCTGTTTATGCTGAGATTGGGAACTGAAAGTGGGCAGTGACAGTCTTCTTGCCAATAGTTCGATTATGTTTGTCTCCTTACATTAGAAAATATTTTATGTAGTATTGTTTTTGGCTCTATAAAAAAAGTTCAGTTCCTCATCAACCACTCACCTGCTGGTTTAGCATCATATGTTCATCTTTGCGTACATAAGTTAATTTCATTAGGGCTTAAAAAGTGGGACTTTTCTCATTCTGTCCTTTTATATGTATTAACTGGTTTTTTTCTGTAAAGCAGAGCATGTTAAGTGGGGCTATTTCGTTGCCCTTCAGTATAGCTCCTAAAGGAAAAACAAGATGCGTACTTGAATCTCTCTTTTTACCGTTTTTCAAAGTGAAAAACTGAGTCGATAAATGAAAAAGGTATCTTGTTGTTTTAACTTTTCTTTTGAGTGTGTTTATAGACTCAGGGATTTTTGTTTTATTCAGAGTTTTTAAATTTACTACCATTTAAATTTTTTATTTGATGCTTAGATTATCACAACTAGTCATTGGGACCTTTATGCCAGCTCATATATCCGTTTGCCATAGATCATTAATCTCTATAAGCCTTCCCTGTTCTCTGGCATGGAAAAGTATCCCAGGCTCATCTGTATCTTCCCTGCCCCAGACCTGGCATCAGCTCTTTTTCCAAGGAGTGGTACCTTTTAGTGTATTATATTAGAGACAAAACTTTGGGTGCTAGGAGTGTTTACTACTGCTAGAGTGATGTTGTTCATAGGCCATTTCAGTGAAAAGACCTATAAAATATAGGCTTTTAAAAACATGAATTCATATTGATATTTTTAATTAATGTTTTACTTAATGTCTTGATTTTATAATATTATCTCTGTTTTCTTACACTAATAATCATGAATCTTAAAATCAATAGCATAACTTCATTGCTTATTCCTACATATAAAGAAAATAATTTTAGGATATCAGTAATATTACTAAAACCAGTAAAACTATCAAAGTTTAAAATTTTTATTAGTTTCTCATCATTCATGTGTGCATGTGTGTGTTGAGGGTGCTCAAATCAAGCAAATATATGTGTACATATTCTTTCTCCCGTCCCTGTACAAAAGATGCACTTTGTATACCCTGTTGGGTATATTCTGTAGATCTCTCTAGTCAGTACATATCTTATAGTGTACATACAACCTTTTTAAAAATTGTAATATCAAAATAAAAGCTTTTGGTAATTTGATAATTTTTGGATCGACAATACTATTAAAGTCAACTCAATAATGTGAAGGCTGCAGAAAGAAAAATATCTAGAAAAGGGCACTGGATTAGGTGATTTTTGCATTGTATTTGGAAGATAAAAGGGTCCAGAATTGGATGGGCAGAGATCATTAGAGATAAAGGGAAGCTTTTGGCAGATTAGCTGGGTTGGTTTGAGAGGTCTGTATCAGAAAATCATGAGATTAGAGAGGATTGATGGAGCTCAAGAAAAAAATGAGAGCTGGTATGATGGATGGGCAAGACTCATAAAAATGTAGATTGTTGGAGATTTTTATATTAATAGTGGGATATAAATTCTTCTTGAGTATAGAGGTTTGTTTTTATGCCAGCTATAGTCTATAACATAATTGAATATGATGAACATGCTAAATATCGATGGCAAGTGACTTTTGGGCAACTTGGGGGTTAGGGGTACCAAGCCCTGTACAGCTGAAAATTCATGCATAATTTTGATTCCCTCAAAACTTAAATTGCTAAACAGCCTGCTGTTGACTGAAAGCCTTCCTGATAATGTAACCAGTCAATTAACATATATTTTGTATATGTATTATATATTGTATTCTTTTTTTTTTTTTTTTTTTTTTTTTGAGACAGAGTCTCGCTCTGTTGCCCTGGCTAGAGTCAGTGCCGTGGCGTCAGCCTAGCTTACAGCAACCTCAAACTCCTGGGCTCAAGCGATCCTTCTGCCTCAGCCTCCCGAGTAGCTGGGACTACAGGCATGCGCCACCATGCCTGGCTAATTTTTTTTTTTCTATATATTTTTAGTTGTTTAATTAATTTCTTTCTATTTTTAGTAGAGACGAGGTCTCGCTCTTGCTCAGGCTGGTTTCGAACTCCTGAGCTCAAACAATCCGCCCGCCTCGGCCTCCCAGAGTGCTAGGATTACAGGCATGAGCCACCGCGCTCGGCCTATATATTGTATTCTTATAGTAAAGTAAGCTAGAGAAAAATGTTATTAAGAAAATCGTAAGGGAGAGAAAATATATTTACTATTCACAAAGTGGAAGTGGATCATCATAAAGGTCTTCATCCTCATTGTCTTCATGTTGAGTAAGCTGAAGAAGAAAAGGGGTTGGTCTTGCTGTCTCGGGTAGCAGAGGTGGAAGAAAGTCTGCGTAGAAGTGAATGTGCACAGTTCAAACCCATATTCTGCAAGAGCCAACTGCATTGATTGGAAATGGGAATAATAAAGTTTCTATCTCAGTTCAGTATTATCAAGTCACAGATAGCAAGGGTTGGAAGAGACCTTAATGATTGGTTATTTCTTTGAACCTAAGTATCATGTAGAATAGAAAATTGAGGTCTGGAAATGTTAAGTGGCTTGTCCAAATTATGCAACTGGTTAGAGGTATAGCCAGCTCTTAAATCTGGCTTCCTGAGTCTCATCGTATCTACTTTTTTGCTATACCATGGTGTGGTCTTTGGCCATGAGAAATTAGAAGTTGAACTGTTAGTCTTTCTAGGCAGGTGCAGATTTTTTGTTTTTGTTTTGATTTTTGGTTTTTGTCCCAAAATACTTTAGTTCTGTGGTTTACAAAGCCTGTGGTTTTTGTTTTTCTCATATCCCTAAATACTGTAAATGTGGATGTTACCTTTTGCTTTACATGCATTTTTAATATACTAAATAGAGGTGTTTAAAAATTATTTTGCTGTATAATGGTCTTGAGGGTCTTTTTTTGGAATTGATATATTTACCATTACTTCTTAATTACCGATAAAGGATTATAGATAAATACATTGATGGCTTTTTATTACTATAGCTATAGTAGGGAAGCCTTTCTTTTTATAATTAGCTAATGTTTTAAAATGTATACATTTAGTTTGCACTGTTGCATATTTCAGATATTTCCTTAACTTAAGTACCCAGATATTTATCCAAACATTATTGCTATGGGGTTTCCTGCAGAAAGACTTGAAGGCGTATACAGAAACAATATCGATGATGTAGTAAGGTAAGAACACTTTTGATTTTCTATTTCAAATATTGATGTTTATATTCTTGTTGTATTTTCATTTAGAAAAGATTTTTAAGCCACAGGAAAAGATACACTTCGTGATGTAAACTTTTTTATTAGGGTGCTCCATAACTCCTTTTTTTGCTTAATATACCTAATGGACTTCAATGGGAAACACTTCATTTGATAAGAACTAACCTCGTACATAATCGGGTACTTACATGATTTCTTGGACTCTGTAAAACGTCTCTCACCAGGTTAATGCCTGGATTCTATTACAATACGATTTTTGTCTTTTATTTGACATCAGGGATTAAGCCATTCTTGAGTGGATTTATTCAGTTAAACTTAATCATACTAAAGTGTAGATGACAGATACTATGTATTTTTATGTAGAGCAATTTTTAGTGGGGCATGAGCATACCAAGAACCTGAAGAAGTATTTGGTACAAGGGATATAGAAAGGAATGGCCAGGTATACCAAAGTCTACACTAGTCAGTTGTATTATTTTGCATAATTTTCTAAATATGATTATCATTCGGTTGAAAACAATGTATTTCTCAAGGCATACTTAAATATTGCTTTTTAAATACACTTACTACCTAACAATACATGGTATATTTTATAAAGAAGGAATTTATGTCTGCTGTGCAAGTAGTCTTAATATACTTTCTGATTTGAGAGCAAAAATATATATTTATGTATAAATTAATTGTAAATTGTCACTGGGAACTTTAATGGCTTTCAAAGTTAAAATTCTGAGTCAGGCATGGTGGCACACACCTATAAGTCCCAGCTCTTCAGGAGGCTGAAACAGGAGGATCACCTGAGCCCAGTAGTTTGAGGCCAACCTGGGCAACATAGTGAGATCTGATCTCTTTAAAATTTTTTTTTAATTTTTAGAGAGGGGGTCTTGAGCTATTGCCCAGGCTGGAGTGCAGTGACCTGATCGTAGCTCACTGCAACCTCCAGCTCCTGGGCTCAAGCGATCCTCCTGCCTCAGCCTCCTGAGGAGCTGGGACTACAGGTGTAAGCTATGATGCCCAGCTAATTTTTTTGTTTTCTGTAGAGACAGGGTCTCACTATGTTGTCCAGGCTGGTCTCGAACTACTGGCCTCAAGCTGTCCTCTACTGCCTTGGCCTCTTGAAATGCTGAGATTATAGACATGAACCACTGCGCCTGGCCTGAGACCTCATCTCTTAGAAAAGAAAAAGTTCTAGATTATTTCTTTTACACATTTCATAAATGTCTTCCCTAGAGACTTTCCATTTAAATGTTTAGTGCTTATGAGAGTTAAATGTTCAAATGCATGGGAAAGCACTTTGTAACTTACAAAGCATTACATAGATATAGAGTCCTTTTGTAACAAGTTGTTTAAGTATGTAAGACTACCTGTACTCTTTTATGAGCCAGTCATAAGTTGTTTCACTAAGCGGGTAATTTTTAGTAACTTGCTTTGAACCACAGTGTGTTTACATTTTTGCAGTATTGAGTTGTGTTCAATTGGAGTTTTGTAGTATTTATATTTTGTTCAAAATTAAATTTTAATACTTACGAAAACTATAAAAAACCCTACTACTTTGCAGTTCCTATTAAAATTATAGGTAATACATGGAGGGGTTAGAGGTGCTGTTTAAGAACCTGAAAACAGGGAAATGAGTTTGCTTTCTCATAGTTAGGCAAGACACAGTGGAAGGATGCTTAACATTATAGGCTCGTAGGAGCAGCAGCGTGACACAGCTTGTGATAATAACACATCTAAAGAAAATGCCCTGAGCCATAGAAAAAAGAATGAGGGAGGTAAATTTTGAATCAAGAGAGACGGAGAATCTGGGATAAGAGCAGTATAGTCACCAGGCATGTATTCTTTGCTATGGTGCAGTGTTTATCAGGCCTGGATGAAATGTCTCACAAGATGATCTACTTATTCAACTAAGTACCAGTTCAACCCAGCCAGATTAGTACTCATACTGAAAAAGAGTATGAGTACTCTTAATGGAGGGCAAGTTTTCTGATTATGGTAAAGATATCCTACATGATAAATTAATCTGATTTGCTAGGTTTTACATTGGTCACTTCTGGGTACGTATTAGTCACTGAGACCAATTGATTATCTTTTAGGTTACTGATGAAGTCCAGTTTCTGGACCTGTACCACTGCTGATCAGATCTTAGATTGTAATAATTTCACCAAGAAAATACTATGCTGGGAAGCATTTTTGTTCCTCATTTTCTGATTTCATAACTCCTACCATGCCTGTGAATTAACAGATTCATGCATTCAGTAATTAAGGCTGAAGTTTATTCTATCTAGCTTTAATTTGTCTAGTTTGTTTTATTCTAGCCTTATGACTTTTTCAAATCTGCTTTCCTAACAAATATTTTATGTGTTTGGATTGTTACTTAGCCAATAGTTCTTTTAGCCAACTGATCTTGCCACATGTTATGGTAATATTAATAGAATATGAACCTGAAGGATTATCAGCTGAATATAATCGCTGTGCTGTCCTTGTTTTGTTTGTTTTGTCTTGTTCTTTTTTTGATTGGAGGATAAAGGGCTAATAAGAAGAATAAAGGGCTAATAAGGCTAATAAAGCTTCTCTTGCTCAGCCTTCTCCCCTTCTTTTATAAGAGAAAGAATGAACAGTGACTAGGAAGGGAAGGTGTAATTCTTCCTTAAACTAAAATGAAAATAAATAAGCCCTAATAATTTACCTGTTAGGATTAACCTCTCTGAAGGAATAACTATGTTCAGTACCAAAATGATTGATTTCTCTGATTGGTTCACATTATATTGGGGACAGTAGTAATAATCAGTAGCAATTCTTTTTTTAGTAGAAAAGTGATGATGTCTCTGTGAAAAATGTGTTTTTATTTTTGTATACTTTTACTTTTCTGTTAACAAATCTATTTTCAGTTGGATTTTTCTTTGCCCTCTCAGTTAAGATGTCCAAAGAATATTTAAAATTACTTTTTTCTTTAATTCCACATTTTTCCTGTGATTTTCCCCCAAACAGGAAATACTGTGCAGAGTTCAGATTTTTTTGTTGTTGTGCTTCATCATTGCTTTGAGTAAAATAAACTGCAAATACCTTCTTGTTTAAATTGTCCAGTATTTAAATGTTTTGGGGATATGGTTTGTTTGTTACGGCAGTGCCTCAATTTTATGCTTGAGGTACTCAGAGTACTTTGAGACAGACTTCTTCTTTTGAGGTTACCTCCTAGGATTAGGAATAAATGTAAAAAATAAACAGAAAGGGAGGGGAGGGGAAGTGTACCAAGCTGAACATTTGTACTGTCTTAAGTGGAAATGTTTTGCTTAATAAGCAATCAGAATTGACAGGACAGGACAGTGACATCTCATAGAAAGGAAATTAAAGAGCTAACTCTTCCTAAATTGATGTTTTCTTTTTTTCTTCTTACTACTACCTTTTTTTCTTCCTCCTTTTTGCCACTAAGCTCTTGCCTTGACGTGCTGGAAATATGAAACAATGTTTTATTCAGATAATTGATTATTCTTTGATGTTTGTGTTAATCTTATCCCTTAGGTAGTATTGAAGTTATCTAATTTATGTCATCTGGTATAAATCTAAGCAGCCTTTAACAAAGTGGTGCTTCATGTGTTTAAGAGGCATAGCTTAAGATCTGTTCTGTCCCTAATAAATCAGGAAAATGTGGGCTTAATAGTGAAATGGCTCTCTCGCTGCAGAACCTTTAATATGCCACTATACATTGTAAATCTCCCAAGAGTGAGATACTAGTATGCTGCTTTTCCTTTTCTTTTTTTTTTCTTCCTTTTCTTTCCCTTCTGCCTCTTCTGTTTGCTTTTGTAGTACAATAAATAGCATCTCTTTAAATGATGTTTCATGGAGCATAGTTTGGGAAATGTTATAAAATGGGAAAAAATGCATATAAAAATATTTTCCCCTCTGTATCCATAGGAAATAATTCATTTCCTCTTCATTTATTGGAAAATTTTTGGTGAAAAGATTCCTATATTTATGATAAGAAAATGCTTATAGCACAATCTTGTGATATATAGTGATTTTTTTAAAAGATTTATCCATTGTCTTGTTTACTGTGAGCTTCTTTACTTATGTATAAGCAGCTGTATTACAGATTCAAGAGCTCATCTTTGTTTTGTGCTGTTACATACATTTTCTTTCTGAAGAAACTTTTCAGATATTTTAATTATATGTTGATTTCTCAATCAACCTTAATTGTATGTTGATTTTCAATAAAAACAAAGTGTTTACTGCCCTAACATTATCATTATTGGTTGTTCAGTTAAAAAAGGAATTAAAAAGAGATTATTTAGAGGCAAGTGTCAAAATAATTTAGAGGAAAGGATATCAGTTCCATTCTTCCTTTCTAACATTTTCTGACTCCTTCCCTCTATTGCCTCCCTGTTTCCCACTTTTTTTCTTTATTGAGGTGAAATTCACACAACACAAAATTAACCATTTTAAAGTGTACAATTCAGTGACATTTAATATCTTCACAATATTATGCAACTACCACCTCTGTCAAGTTCCAAAACATTTCTGTCACTCCAAAAGAAACTCCTGTTCCCATTGGCTGCCTCCCACTTCTTTTATTAGTCTTATTTTGTTACAAACAGGGAACCTTGATGGATTAGACAATGTTTATTATCTTCACCAATCTATTTCTTTGGGATTTTAATAATAGGTAACATTTTTGAGCATTTATTTACATATTATTTACATATGTAACTGTTGTATAAGCATGTATCATCTTATTATTGCATGTGTCATCTTATTAAATCTCTACAGTAAGTCAGTCCCTATTTCATAGATGATTTAAAAGAAGTTAACTTCCTCAAGTGCCATAGCTCTGATAAGTAGTGAGGCTGAAGGTTGAGTCCAGGTCTTTTGGATTCCAAAGCTAATTTCCTCAGTAACCATATTGTCTGATATATCAGAGGACAAAAACTGGAAATTCTTGAGCTAATCTACCCTGTTGATAGGCTTTGTTT